TTGCCAAGGTGATCGCGAGGTTTCCGTCATTGCTTGGCTACAGCATTGATGAAAATCTGAAGCCAACAGTCGACTACATCAAGGGGTTGGGCCTGATGCAGTCACAAGTGTCCGACATGATCTCAACGTTCCCACCCATTCTCGGACTGAGCATCGAGACCAACCTGGCAGTGAAGCATCGTCTGTTGCAGAAATTCTTTCCCGGGGCAAAGGCGGCAGAGTTGTTGGCACACTCGCCTCGCCTTTGGAGCTACAGGTATGCTCGACTCGAATATCGCCTTGCTGTGCTCAAATCGCACGGCCAGCTCTCCAAACTCAGCGGTGCCCTGGCACTGCCCTTGGAGACTTTCAATCGCCGATATCGTGGCAATCTTGGCGGAACGCACCGACCTTCGAAAAGTGCGGGTGATTTCACATGGTTTTGCCCGCTGCAAGCAGGGGTTTTCTGCCTCAAGCAAAAGTAGGCTTGCAACAGCTGTCGGCCTCGGCACTTGCCCTGACAGGTTTGGTAGTGGTACGACATAGAGATTCAGAAGTACCGAATGATAGCTCGTCAGCTGAGCACATTCTCTGAGTTAAGTGGAGCATTAAGTGTGTCGGCGTGTTCATTTAAACAATCTCACGGTTCGAATGCTGCACATTGCAACAACGGATCCGTGCAACTCTCGCCACGGGTTAAACATGTAGCAGAGGTCTCTTAAGCCACAAACCCCACACGACACAGCATGTGGCTCGAAGGCATATCACGAGGCTTTGGAAATACTTTTTACACCTCGGGTGAACTAGCAACTAGCAGCAACCTCCCATCCATGAGGTGCTTTTGAGAAAGCCGGTCGATGGCAGTGGGCTTTACGATTCGTGGACTCTGCAGAGAAGGTGTTGGGCAAGGGCTTGTAGAGGTATATCACAGGTACACAGCTGTACTCTTTTAGCCGGTTTGGCCCGATCCCGCACTTTTTTGATTTGGTCATTACTCATTCAGTTCTGTGCAGCATCCTTGGGTTTGTCAGAGTGTTGCGGTTTCTCAAGGCTTTAGGGCTGGCCTTTGCTGGATTAAAGTCAACCTGGCACGCACGTGCCTCTGAGTTACTCGTAGCAGTGCACAAAAACATCAGCCAATCCATCCAATCCACACATAGACATCCGGCAAGAACTGCATTCCTAAGGCATGCTTCCTGCATTAATTATGTTCTGAGCTGAAAATTCCTAGTCTTCGTACATGTAGCTATTTCCGACGTTTTCAAACCAGCTACAACCTGCAAGCTGCGAAGCTCGCCGCAGGCCTTCGGGGTGAGTCCTGGGCTGGAGGCTTCCGCTGACAGAACGTTGCGGGAAGGTGAATGCTTCGGTAACACCGTGTAGAACTCCCCGGGCTGCATCCACAAGTAAGTCTGTGATAGACGTTGTGCGACCGTGTACCGTCCCTGTGGGTGCAGGGCATTTGCTATGATTTTCTTGTAGCTGGTCATCTGCATGGCTGACTTGCTTTGTTGCGAGAATTGTCGGTCCAATTGTCGGTACTGATTTGCCGGGTACTGCGACTTATCTCATCACAGGCTTGCAATGCGGCTCTGAGCGCCTGCGAGCGCAGCGGGCGCTGGACAATTTGTTTGGCAACTTGTCCCCGCAGTCGGGCTTGTTTGCACAGGCTTGCCAGGGCTTCTCAGGATCGTTGCATGAGAGCTTTTTGGGATTACTCGGCGGTCTGACGGTTTATGGCGGGCATTTTGCGCAGCCATGAAGTTCAGGAAGTTCAGGGGTTGATGATGGCTAACTTACATTTTGGAGTCGGAGCCTTCTGAAGTGTGTTCGGCTTCTAACTTTCATGGGCTGGCCTATAGAAAGACACGGCCGAAAACACTGGAAGTTCTCCTGCCGAGTAGCGTTTTGCGAGGGCTAGGGGAATCAAGAACAAGTTTTTGCATTCCTCAGCTTTGATTTAGGGCTCTATTCGGGGTGTAGGGTTTAGTTCAGGGTTTCTGCAGCCTGACAGACTTGCAACAAACCCCGGGCCTCTTGACGGTTACAAGCCAGCTCCCTGGCCACCCTCCGCAAGCCGAGTGGTGATAACAGACATGATCCACTAGAGTCTTAAGAGCTGACAGGAAGGAATTAGAGGACTTGCGATCATGATTTCCGGGCCTGATTCGGAGATTATTGCTTGTTTGGGTTTGCTTCCCAGGGCTATATGGGATTCATCTCTACGTGACGGGACCAGGGCCCACTCATCTGTAGGTATCGGTGTAGTGGACTTCTCCGCCCTCAACGTCCCATCGATGAGGCCCTGTTCACAGAGATGAAGCGCACTGGCCCGGTCGCATGGCCTGCGGTTGCAGTTTAACGGCTCTTGTGTTTGGGTTTCATGGTTTTCGGACTTCAGGACGTGGGGTAGTGTTGTCAGGCCTTTTGCTCAGACTTAAGAGTGCAGCTTATCGGCTGCGGGCGCGGGTGAAAGGCCTCCAGGTCTGGGGGCCGAGAGTTTGAGTCCAGCCGCGGTGTTTCCAGCTGCTGCATGCTCAGCCAGGGGTAGTGCCTTTGGTCGTCTGTGGCTCGTAATATATTCGGCTGCTGATTCATGGAGAGTCAATGAAGGCTCCAGATGAGATTAGCTACAACGCCGTTATCCGCTCCTGCAGCAGTCTGACCCTCAGTGTTTCGGCCTCATTCTGCCTGAATGCTGTGCTTCGTTCGGCTAGGGGCCAGGACAGCGAAGTGGTTTGGGATGACGAGGTTTGTATTGGGTTTCATTGGATGGTTACCCCCTCGATCCAGTGGACTGGCGACGTTTTGCTCGGCTTGTCCGAACAGTGACAGACGAGTTCACTTGATGGCCTGATCTTGGACATTACTGCAATGTCCATGCGACGATTCGGTTCACGACCACATCCGGCACTGCTTCCCAGGTTGTTCCATTTCTGGCCTCGAATCTTTTCACAACACCCCAACTTTACCAAGTCCAAGCTCCACCCATCGTGCAGGTGGCCCTGCCGAGATAGCCCTGGAACTCTTTCAGGATTTGGAGAGCCTCGGCCAGAGTTTGCCCTTCGCGCGTAGGCAAGTGCGGGGGGGCGGGGGGGGGGGGGGTTCTGGTAATCCGGGTTTAAGGCCACCGCAAACTGCCTTTGAATTTTGATGCCGCGATTTGCCGAGAACAGGAGTTAGAGCGATGGGAGTGGCCGGAGATCACTACACTATACTTTCATAGTCATGTAATGGACAGGAACCTAGACTTTCCTGTTTCCGTAGTCCGAGGAGCAATGCTCTACATCCTGACATCGTGACGCTGAGTGCCATGATGGGCGCTTCTCGCATGCAGCCTTGCAGGGCTTCAGGAACCTCAAGTCTGCAGAGCAGGTTTAAGTTTAGTCTTCGGCTCGAAACTTAGATGTTGAGATTGTTGGGATTAGAATTCTGTTCCTCGGGCACCGAAGCATGACCTGCTGGAGGAGAGACATGCCTTCGGTTTCCTGAAGACTTGAAGGATCTTGAAGACTTGGAGGTGCAAACACACCTTGCTTGGCCATGCTTGGCGGGTATTGTTGGATCTTTGCCAAGGTTTACCAAGACCAGCGGCTGTGGCATGAGACGTGGCGGAACATGATTAAACATATTTCAGCGCTCAAGGGGGTTCAATGGGGTGATTTGAGCGCGTTTGCTTGCAGGCGTGATCCATTGTTCCAGTCGACGTGACTTGCCAGACAATGCAAACTGTTACGAGATGCTTCATTACCATCCGAGGACGTTTTTCAATGCCTGGCTGAGATCGAAACCATCGCTGTAGACAGAAGGTTGCGACAAAGTATCGCCTTGAAAAAGGGTTCGACTGCAGCTGTTTGTTTGATCGCCGCTTATTGGGCGGGTGCTCGTTCTTGCGGGAACTGAGCTGGTTTGCTGCCAGGTACTCTTGGAGCATCCCAGGTTTGTTGATGCCAAACCTCGGGTGAAGGACACAGTTGCAGAGTTGCCGAGTGCGCAGGGGGGGGGGGGGGGGGGGGGNNGGGCGGCCAAAAAATAGGCAAGGGCGGATTTGCTTGTGTAGCCTTATTGCCCGTGCACTGTTTACTTCCCATTGAATTTGATGGCTCGGATGCTCAAATCCAGGACGCTTTCGGTGATACGGCGCTGCACCGAGCTGCCAGTTTCGGCCATGTGGATGCGTGGGGTGGCCCAAACTCAGCAGGTATTCAGAAGGATCGATATTTCCTATAGGTCTGGTTTCCATGCGAGGAACTTTTTCAAGAATTCGTTTTAGTTTTCGTTGTCCTACAACCGTTTTTTGCAAACTGCAAGCACTTTCCATGATCAGGCAGTTTTGCCACATCCAGTCCGAAACATTTTGGTCCATTAGACTGGAGCTCTGATTTTGTTTGTTGTGTGTTCCGCAGCTTCTTGGATTAGAATGATGAACGAAGACATGTGTGGGTAAACTGAGCCACCAAGTCGATGTTGTCACGCGGAGCCGGATGTCCATGTCAACCCAAGCCCTCGAGCCAAGTTTACAAGCCGTCGTTGCATCATGTGGCATAGGATTGCTGTAAGTTTGGACAACAGCTTTCCCAAGTCGAACCTTCAGTGGGAGGGACACATTCGATCGTAAACAGATCCCCGCACTGCAATTTCAAAATCTGCACAGGCAAGTGACTCTTGAAATGCTTGTGAACTACGACAACCTTTAAGTGACACGTTCAAGATTCACGCCGCGATGGACGAGCCATCCACGATGCAGAGAGGCAGACGAGCGCACCTCCCTGCCGTGTTCGAGCCTCGGGTCAGATCTTCTTCATGCGGGACGGGCTCAGGGCCATGAGGAACCCTCAAACCTCCAAGGAACCCCTTTGAAGCAGTTTTCTCGAAGAAGCGCCTCTAAGGATTGATCGCGAAACACCCTATAGAAATCAGTGCAAGTTCCATGCGGATCAACCACAAGCATTCATAGCATTCTGAGGCCTAAATACCACAGCCGCCGCACAAAGCCGTAAACCCCAAACATCCTTAAACCCTAAACCCTAGAAAACCCTATGATCCCTTAGCCTGAATCCGAGAGCCTTGAAGGTTAGTGGGTGCCGGCGTGGCGTTGCTCGCTTTTGGCCGTCTCGCGGGCTCCAGCTTCGCTTGTGCACCCTAGCGGCGATTCGAGGGCTCAGGGGTCTCGGGATTCAAGGTTTCAGTTTTGGATGTTCTTAAGCAAGTTTTAGGGTTTGGGGGTTCAATCTACAGTGTTGAGGGTGTGAGTAGATTGTATTGCGCAGGTGGGCTTCGGTACCGTTCCTCACAGGAATTGTCGGTTTTCCGGTTTCGCGCACAGCTCGAGGGTCGAGGTGGCCAGTCTCTCAACCCGTCAAGTCCCTCATGCCCGGACCTCTTTGGCAAACCCACCTCAAGGCATCCTCAGACCTCAAGCTTGACACTTCGACCAGGGTTAGTAGGCTTTTTGGCTAAATCAAAGATTTTGTGGTCTTCTAGCACCAAGACCATGTCATGCCGTGCTCTCACCTCGGCACCTTGATCGGTAAATATGATGATTAAGCCCGGGACCTGCAACAGAATCCCAAATACTTATCACCCCTTTTATCGACTCTGCTCGATCCTAAGCTATCCTGAAGCTTCAAGAGCTTGCATGTCATGTGTCTGCCCCTACCAGTGGTACACGGTTCCATGTCCAGTAAAGTTTATAGGGTGGGGGGTGAGGGGGGAAGGGGGCCTTAATACCCGTAATAAGATCCTAATAAGGCCTATTTAAGGATAGTCCCCTACCCCCTCCCCGGTACCCCCCTCCCTTAAGGGTCCCTATGATTTGGTTGAGCACAGACCGAGGCGGAACCGTCGGCTTTGACGAGCTCTAGGAGAGGGTGGACCTGGGTGGACAACGTACTTTAGGGGCCTTGAAGCTTAGAGTAAGGTTTTGGGGGGTACACTATGCTATGAATATAGTAATATAGTAAGGAACCCCAAAATAATNNTTATTTAGGCCCCTGTATTAGACCCTCAGGGCCAGGGGCTTATGGGCCAGTGTTTCGGCTGAAAGGTTTAGGCCGGTGTGGGCTTTGGAGTGGCACCAAGTTGTGATTTCATGGGCTAAAGGGGCGTTCCAGTGATCTGTAGATGTCGGCACTTGGGTGGCTTGGTGGCTGATGCTTACGGCTTACACCCAAGGTATAAAGTATGAAAGTGAATTTGTTTGTGCGTGTAAGGAGAACCCCCAAACCTAAAACATGAGATGCTCCAATCTTTAGAATGCTCAATAGTGAAGCTTGACAACCCACACCTGCGGCATGGTTTCCAATATCCACATAACTCAACAGCCGTATGTGTACCCGTCGTAAAAACCCTACAAACCTAAAGCCTCAAACCTCAAAGCCTCAAAAACGGCAAGCATTGCGTCCCGAAGCCCTAAACCCGTGAGAGTCGAAACCCGAAAATCCGAACTCCAAACCCTTTCCGCCGCATACATGTCACCCGTCAATGCAACATAACCCCTAAAGCCCTAAACCCCAA